CTTGCCAGCTGAAGCAGGAACTGGCTAAGGCAGCTGCTCCCTGGTCCGACCATCACAAAGCAAGAGACCCAAGAACTAGAAAGGTGAGGCTCACGGAGCCATTTATCCCTCCACCCTTCAATTAACCCTACATGTGTTTATTGGCCAGGTTGGCACAATAAACTACCTCACAGGTTAACTTACAGAAGCCGGGTCTGAAAACTTTATTGATAGAACACAATCTCCTGTCTAGAGTGATACTTCCTAGGGTTTCCTGTAAAGGCAGGACCTAATTCATCAACGGACTCACTATACCTCTCTATGGACCTAGTGTGCCACAGTCATTTAGTACTTAGATGTGGGCTCATTCTACCTTGTGACACCTCTGGCATTTAGGACCCACAGGTGAGGAACTATTTATTTGACCTTCCTTGGGAGTTGGTTCTGTCCTTCATGGATGGAAATGACTCTTCTTACTGGTTGCTGTAAAGATAAAGAGGTGCTGTGTGGAGAGCTCTTCAAACCACCCCAGACAGGCAAGAAGTGTCCCATGAACAGTAACCTGTTATGAACACACAACAGTGACCTTCATGGACAACTTTGGTTGATAGAATCCCAATTAAGAGGCTGATGAAAATCTTCTCAGTACTAGTTGCTGGAATTAGTGCTATCTCTTTGAGCCCCATTAATGCTTCTTTCTGTTCTACTGCTTGATTCCACCTTCACCCCAGCCTGGTCAGGGTTCTGTTCCAGCTTTCTCCCTGAATCCCTATTGCTACAGCGAGTGTCCGGGTCCCAGATCTCAGAACTTAGTTCCTTTTTTCTCACATAGCTACCCCTTGGGTGCAGCCCTCCCACCATTCAACCAGATGCCCCAAACATGCTCCTTCCTCGCTCCATTACACCATCTGGAACTAAGACACCTCTCCAATTTCATTGTTGGGAGTGAGGCTTCTACGGTCACATTAGACTGAGATAGTAGATAATTATTTGATTATTGCTCTAATTCATCCACTGGACTTCTCTGAATCCCAAGAAGGAAATTTCCACAAGGCCCAAAGTCTTCTAGGGCCTCAAAGACTGTCTGTTGAGTCGCCCTGATGGTTCAGGTAGCATACAACTTTCATGGAGGGTGACGGTGGATGCTCACTGGGCTGAGACCCTGTGGCCTGTTCCTTTCCAGGTATCTTCTCTAATCCCGAGTTCTTCAGCTATGGGGTGGAATCCTATGAAGCCTGCAAGAAGAAGTCTCTGGCCAGAGATATACTTGATGAGCAGAAGAAGGTCCGGGAAGCCGACTTAGTGATATTTCAGGTTTGTGTTCCCTCTAAAATGTGTATTAAATTAGAGTCTACACATGTACAGACTCATTCTGCTCCTCAAAGTTGTGCTAAGTTTGCACACATTTGAACACATATCAATGTTCTACTTAGATCAGAAGCTGCCTGTAGCTGATATCACTTCTGTGCAATTGCTGGCCCTCAAGTGCATAGTATGGAACAACTATACTTTAGGGCAGTGGTTCTCAACCTTCTGAATGCTGCGTCCCTTTAATACAGTTCCTCATGTTGTGGTGACACCCAACCATCAAATTATTTTTGTTGCTACTTCGTAACTGTAATTTTGCTAGTTATGAATCAGGTAACCCCTGTGAAGGGGTCATTTGACCCCCAAAGGGGTCGCGACCCACAGGTTGAGAACCACTGCTTTAGCCCAATGGCCCGCAAAATGTCTCTGCTTGCAGATCTGGTTGCTTTCCCTCCATGTATGTGCAGGGGTTGCTTCGAAGCCATATTGGCCTACATGGCATTTGTCAAGACAAATCTAGCCTCTATTTGGTTCCTCGCTGGCCCTATTCCTTGTATTTCTTTGCAAATTGCCCAGGGAGGCAAAGCACCGCAGAAAGCACCTGTCCCACTAAACCACAGCTGTGGCTTTTGCATATCCAGGTCGCTATCTGCAGTAGGCAACTGAGCAGCTGTGAAGCCATGTGCGTGATTGTAAGCCGGGGGCAAAGCAGACACACGTGCCTTTGAGGGAGTATTTCTAAGGCAAGCTAGGACAAGGGGGGAGCTTATTCTACAGACTCTGATTCCTTGCCCCTGAGAGAGAGGCAGTGAGACAGACCATGGTGGGGCTGGCTGTAGGAGCACCTGGACCCTTCAACCCTCTCTCCTGGGATTTGCCCTGCTGGCTAGCTGGTCTCTTCCCCTTGCATACAAGTGACCGAATTCTCTTGGTTCCAAATCCAAAATTTCCAAGGAGGAGATTTGATTGACCTGGATCGACTCTTGCTTCTCTCCCTTCTTAAGAGTAGAAAGTGGCTGGGAGAAAAGGTACCTTCTGTTGGGACCGGCTTTCTTGTGGGTGTGAGGGGCAGGGGCCAGTGGGCCAGGTTGCAAAGAAAATGGCATGTTCAAAAGGTGAAGGTCACAAAGCCTCTGTGCATTTCCCATCCTGGTGGGATGCGGGGTGGAAGTGAGGGTGTTTTCCCTTCCCAGTCCAGCCCTGGCTTGCCTTGTACACCTCTCCTCAGCCCTCCTTTCCTTTGCCAGATGACCTGGCGAGACTGACGTGGTCAAGGGGCAGGGCATTCTTTCATCCTGGTCATATTGAAGGGCTGGCAGTAGCTCCACCTAAGTGGCCAGATGACCAATCACCTGCATAATATTGGCCACAGCAGGACAGTGGGGTGCACTGTGGGAAGGGCCTCGTCTGATGGTCTCGCTGGACTGCTCTCAGGGCCGTCCTGCTGCCACACTGACCCCAAGCCTGCCTTCATGGAGACTTTCGTCCTTGCTCTCCGTTATGAAGTGTGGGTAGTACTGCAGAAGTGACGGAGGTGAGGCTACAGCAGGGCACTGGGAACCCGTCTGAAACCTCAGGGAAAATAGGGGGAGAGAACTGGCATTAGCCACTACATTTGCTTCTGCTTGTATCTTGCCCCAGTTCCCGCTGCACTGGTTCAGTGTGCCTGCCGTCCTAAAAGGCTGGATGGACCGAGTGCTGAGGCAAGGGTTTGCCTATGAAACCACAGAATTTGGCAGAATCACTTTGCTCAAGGTACATGTTCTGGGGCCAGCCCTGCTGAAGTGGCTGATTGTGTTTGTATGTGGATTGGGGTGTGTTCGTGTGTGTGTCTTGGGGGACTCACCAAGTTGTGTTTCTAGTTTGTCTTATTACCATTCCTAATGGCAGAGTCCCACACACCAGACATGCATGAGGACCACATCGTTTATGAAGACAGGGAGCCTTCACTCTAGTGGGGACATAGACATGCCCAGGCTAGACATCCAAGGTTGGGGGTGGGGGCAGGTGACCTCAGAGCAGGTAGAACTCCAGAAAGGGGTTTTACCTCAGGATGAAGAGTCATATCAGGCTACCCGTAATCTCCCTGGGCATCCAATTCCTCCATAGCTGAGCAAGACAAAGGGAATTCCTCCCTGTAGGGTGAGGTCTTCAGGAGCCCTTGTAGCTGCTCAATGACTGGGAGCTATGGGTTTATTACTGAAATTAGTTCTTACCATTAAAGGATTGCTTTGAATGTAAAAGGCCTCAGAAATTGTGTACAATGGTCGAGTGACTATCCCAGGTCCCTCTCAGACTGTCAGGTGGTGTGCATGGACCAGGTTCCTCTCTGTCCTCATTCCTCTGTCCTTTGCTTCAGCCAAGCCCCTGTCAAGGACAGCTCTCCTGTAACCTGGTTCCTGTTAGAAATCTGAACATGTTCACATTCACTCGGTCCATGCATTCTGGCCACTCCCATACCTCATGTTGGGATGCTGTTGTCACCTGTGGCCAATCACAGGATGCCAGAGTCAGGATGTTACAATTATGTCTGGTGCTGGGGGGAACTGACCACAGATGTTCCCTCCTGATCATCACAAGCCCTTCAACCAACAACACATACCTGCTGTTCTTGGGCCCACGTCCTCTCCTCTCCTCTCCTCTCCAGGGTAAATTGGCAGTATCACTAACCAGAGGCGATCAGCTATGGAATGACATGAAGGACACAATCAGTTCTGATTTGCAGGCCTACCTGTGGCCCCTGCCGGTAAGCAGATGTCACAAGAAATGAAACTTGATGTGAGCTTGAAACCCACACTCTTGAGTCTACTTGAATGTAGAAAATGAAGCATGGTGCCCTTTTAAATGCTCTGCTTAGCAGCACTGAATAGCTCAGCTGATAGACTATCTTAGAATCATATATGCTATTTATATATTCTATCGGTTGATATTGTTTGGATGGAAGTTAAACTGACCTAGGGAACCTGACTTGGGTGTTGTGGGTGGTGACTCACAGAGCCACAAAAATTAGTTTTGATTGGTCAGACAATGTCCAAGACATTCTTACGATGGATTAATCTAGAATGAGGTAGGTCTAGATATGTAATGTGTCATCATGAAGTATTGTTCAAGAAACATCATTAAATGAAGAACAATACATTTTAAGCAATCTATCACACTATTTATGTTTAAAGAACATAATAGTCCTACATGTATAGGTGTGATAGTTAAGTTTATTGTGCCAACCTGGCCAATAGGAACATGCAGGATTAATCAGGTTGCAGTTTGATTGGAGGGCGAAGAGATAAATGGCTATGGAAGGCCAGCCCTCGTCTCTCTTGCTCTCTGGTGATCAGAGCGTGCTGGAGCGTGCTGCTGCTGGAGCTAGTCCTCTGCCTCAACTTGTGAGCTACACTACCTGTGGGCCAGGCCAGCCCATGGATCTTGTTGCTAGAGCTTGAGGCTCCTGAGAGACCTGCTTCGCCACATTGCTGGTGCGTACATTGCTTGAGCTTGAGGCTGGTGGATTATGTAGCCTTGCATTGCCTGCGTTTGATATCCCATCTGGGCCTGCTTCGCTGACCTCCTAAGCTACTGACTGTTGGTGACCCACCCTGATGCTTGCTGCCTGTGGGCAGACTCTGCTTGCCTTGCCCCAGGGAGGACTCTGCTGTCTGCTTGCTTGAACTTGGACCTGGCAGCCCACGTAGGTTGAAGGACTTCCAGTATGTTCACTGTTCCACGGTAATGAGTTGGACAGAACCCTCTGTACTGCTGTGTGGACTAATTAGCCATTATATTCCTTCTTACTGTACAAATCTATCATCTATCTACCTATAATCATAAGTGTCCTTGTTTCATTTTTCTAGAGAACCCTGCCTAACACAATAGGGTTATTGTGTATAAATATAATACACAATATATATCCAGGAAACATGGACTGAGAGGAAACACATATAACTGTTAAGCAATTATTTCTGAGGGTGAGACAAATAGGACTGATTTTCTGCCTTCTGGGGGTCAGTGTGTGTGTGTGTGTGTGTCTGTGTGTATGTCTGTGATCCATTTGTTAGTGTATATGGTCAGCACGTAGGACCTGAGGGGATAGGCCTGGCAGTGCTAGGTTGGGTTTCCAGGCACAAGGGAAGGAGGGGCCTTGTCTGCACTTCTGAAGGCCTCCCTTTAGGCCTCTGCTGGCCAGTCAGGCCCAAGGGTAGGGGTCCAGGTACTCTGGGCCATGCCTTCCCCATTGCCGCTCCCCTCCAGCTTTCAAGGGCTAGGAGCTTCGCTACCCAACAGCCCCAGGACCTCTTCTCAGACTGTTTGGCCTGGGTGTAACCCAGCACCTGAGGAGATAGGGAGAAATGTGGCCAACCCTTGACTGGCAAGTGCAGGGTCTGGATGAGCAGCTCCTCTGAGTAAGGACAAAGCTGGGTACAGGAGAGAAGGGCGTAGACTCCATGCCAAGGTCTTGCCGACCTCTCTCCACACTCGGAGAAGTTCCAGAGCCTGGGGTGGAACTGGTTTTCATGCCCGTGAAAGGATATTTACTGGAGATATTGCATATTAAATCATTGGCACACCTTCCAGGGACCCACAGTTGAGAAAGGGCAGATACCATGAGTGTACCTGCTTTATAGGAAGCAACACAAAGGGGAGGAGTGTGATGTCCCCAGGGGAGGAAATGGCCTTTGAAAGGAGAACAGTGTAATATATATATATAGTTATTATGTATAAATATAATATATATAAAATACACAATATATATCTAGGATATATGGACTGACGGGAAATACATGTAACTGTTAAGCACTTCTTTCTGAGGGTGAGACTAAGATGATTGATTTTCTGCTTTTATATTTCACTATTATCCATTTTTTCTACATCGTGTAATTTTGAAACCTGGCAGAATTCCAGCTTGACTACCGAGAGGCAACAGACCAGTCGGCTTGAAGAGAAGGAAGCTCAGGGTTAGGCGGTGTCCTTTATCACTGTTCTCCTTCCAAAGGCCTCCCTCCTTCTAGACGAATCCATCATAAGAACGTCTTGGACATTGTCTAACCAATCAAAACTGTAATTTTTCACTTCAGTAGTGGCAAAGATTGTAGCTGAATCTCAATTGTAATAATAGAAGTTGGAGCTCCTAATTATTCAAATGGCTCCTCATTGGGAAAACCTGCCATCTATGTAACTTTAAAGGAGCCCTGGTGGCATACCGGTTCTACATGGGGTGGCTAACTCCAAGGTCCACAGTTTGAAGCCAGCAGCTGCTCCAGGCTGGAAAGATGGGGGCTTTCTAGTCCTCTGTCTCCGGAACTCGTAGGGGCAGCTCTCCTCTGTCCTGTCGGGTTGCTGTGAGTGCCAACTCGATAGCAGTGAGTTTGGGTTTTCTGAGTTTTAAGTAGTATTAAAGTGCTTCTAAAGGCTTTTCATACTATTTGTCCTTTAATCATTTAAACAAGTGGACCTGGTGGGTTTAGTTTCTAACCCATTCTTTTCTCTCTCTGTGGCTTCAGCATGGTGTATTGTACCTGTGTGGATTTAAAATCTTGGCCCCTCAGATCAGTTCTGTTCTTGAATTTACATCAGAAGAAGAAAGAGAGAGTATGGTGGCATCCTGGGCCCAGAGGCTGAAGACGATTTGGACAGAGGAGCCCATCAAGCCGCGTTGTACCTTTAGGATATAATAACGCTTTGTAGCGTGAGACCAGCACTTGTGCATGCAACAAGAAGATCGTGTTGTAATAAAAGAAAATCACACCAAAGTTAAAGATATGAATGCATGAGCCAGGCCAAATCTTGCAGTACTTAATTTGTTTTTATTGTTTTCTGGGCCAACCCATATCATTATTTACCAGTCTTCCATTTATTTAAAGTCTACCGAGTGTCTTCCCATTTGTTAGATTTGTTCGTTTGTTTTATTTTTAACTCAAGATTTTTTACTTTTTTCTTTTAGTATGAAAGTTTAACCCACCCATAGCTATTATTCATGTTGTTTGCACCTTTCTATTTGCACCATGCTATAAAGTTTTAATTGCTCAGCTAATTAATATGTATTTAACAGGATTATGTAATGGTTGCCAATGACTATTTCATCACATTTTTTGGCAATTCTAAAATTTTATTGACAATATTGTGATTAAGAAGTGATTTAAAATCTGAAACACAATTGTATGTAGAGATTGAATACCTAGACATAAAAATATTCTATTTTAATATTTATTAACATTGCCTTTAAATATTTTATATAATTTGAAGTAACTTACACAATTTAACTTTCATAGAGTGGCCTCTCTGATTATTTTCCTATATGATAAATCAGTATCACATGCTTCATAAATCCCTGTCCAAAAATATCAATTCCTTCCTTTATCTGATAAGCTAAATTTTACAAGTGTAATCAAAGGTAAAAACAGTCTTTTTGAAACACCTTCCACAATTTATTAGTACCAAATATCTAATTCTTTTCCAGAAAATGGGGCTATAAGGTACCCTTTCATACTAGAAAATTATTTTGTAATTATAGTATGTGCAGATGCAGATACTCTGAAAAACTTCAATTTTTTAATCAAAATCCACTTTCAGTTCAATTAATTCTAAATTTTTGAACTCAGAATAATTCAGGAGAACCTCTGAGGGAGGTACAACAGCTTTGTGGCCAAATCAAATCTTTTCAGAGTTAATTCTTATAAAGGCAGTTTTGATCCTGCTCTTTCAAGTAATGCAGTGGTGGCAGGCGAGGGAAAGGCAAATTTTGCTTCTACTTTCTTCAAAGACTTTTTCCCTTGACTTAGGTGGGCTTGAGAAAACCCAAGAATTATCATCCAGAGTTTTTGCCATAGGAACTATGTTCCTGAATGTTTGTATCCCCAAGAATGACTCCCTTTTATCTCTGTGTGGAGAATTGCTTTCTCTGGTAAAATCTTTGCTTCTCCTGGGGAGAGAAAAGATGTGGTATGAGAAGAAGGTTTGTCATTTCAGGACGGAGGGGGCTGTCTTTTGTGCTCTGGTAAAGTTTTCAAGTGCAGTTTGGGGCTCTTTCTCCCGCGGTCTTCTGGGCCCAGTGCTGGAGCAAGGCCTTCCTGCTTACAGTTGGAGTTTTCCGTTTTCTCAGTAGTCTGGCGTGCACTTGCGTCACGGTGTAAATTAAACATTTCTTTCTTCGGGTCCCAGTATGTGTGCTGCCTGTGATCCGTTGAAATGCTTCACCCTCGGAGAGCTCTGCTCTTCAGATGGTCATCTTGAGACGGGTTCTTTGTTTGGATTTTTGTAGCTCTATTTTGAGATCGCTACATTCTTTCCTCATCCATTCAAACCATGGATCTTCATTCAGTCACAAGCTCAACTTTTCTACCTCCCAGTTTGATGTAAGTGGATTTAAATTCCTCATCACCTCCTCAGGACGTGTTTCTTATCGAATGGAGCATTTCTTCCAAAGAATCTTATTCTCTTCTTTAGCAAAGTGTTCTCTTTTTCTCAACCCTGGCGAACCCTGGTTGCTGCCAGAGCCCTGTAGATGCATCCATCACCATGAGATCCACAAGACTTTGCACCTACCGGCCTGGGTGATCTTCCTGCATTCGGCATCATTGCATGTGGCTGCGTGAGTCTGGAGAAGGACGAGTATTGGGCTGAAGGACTTGAGTTGGACTGGGCTGGGATGTTTTCTTGATAAACAATTACTTCTTGGTATAAAGCTCTTTCTTACACTTACATGAGTGTCACTGGATTTGTTTCTCTAGTCAACCCAGCCCAGCACAGGCTGCTAACTGCAAGGTCCACAGTTCAAACAGGGTTTTCTACGCCTGTAGCCAATGACAGTCTCAGAAACTCCCATAGGATTGCTATGAGTTGGCGTGTACTGGATGGCAGTGAGTTTGGTTTTACACTTTTATTCTGAAAAGTCTGTGAATTTTGTGTCTGAGACCTTTCTCTCCAGCTTGTCCTCATCTCTATTATGTGTCATACTCACTTCTTCAACATTGTTCAGGGCCATTCTCGTCTTAACTTGTTTTTAGTCTCTTTAAAAAGAATTCTCGTCAGACTCTTTTTTGAGACTCTCTTCTTCAGACCCACATTCAAGGCCTCATATTTTAGCATCTTTTTTTTTTTCAGGCATCTTCAAATTATCCCCAATTGTCTGTTTGCCCAAACATTTTTTTAATCTTTAGATTCTTTAAATGCCATTGTAGTTGCAGCTTATTGAACATTCAGCCAGATGTGCTGTGGTGCTCACAGAGGTGGATCACGTCTTATAAAAATTACAAGGAGCTTTTTCTTTCACTGTTCTAAACATTAAAGAAGTTTATTTTAAACTCGAATTCAAGAAGAAGACAAGGAGAAAACCACTTTACAAATTAGAAGTTATGATTACCAGAGAATGAAGGGTGTGGATGCATAAAGAAATCCAAATATATTTAGATGACATAGTGATACGGGCAAAGTCAAAACAAGAACATGATAGAATCTATAGTTAGGGTTAGGGGTAAAGAGTTAGGATTGGGGATAGACTTAAAAAATGTTTAGGTCCAGGGTTTTGTGTAGTGTTATGGGAAGGGGTAGTGGTTGAGCTAGGACTAGGAGTAGTGGTAGCTACTAGTAGTAGTGTTATGGTATGAGCTAGGTTTAGGACTAAGGGTTAAGGTGAGGTTTAGCCATTGAAATGAGTGTTGACCTTGCCCTAGTAACTCTAGTGTTAGAGTTACAATCAGGGTTGTTTTAGGGTTACTGTGAGGGATTGTGCGAGGGCTAGGCATAGGGCTTGGTACAGCACCAAAATTAGGATTAGAAGTGGGGGTTTGTTGTAAGTATAGACCTTGGGTTTTGTATAGTGCCAAATTCATTTAAAAAGGTCATGCT